ATCCTATATCCTGCCATTTGCCCTCTCCACATGGATGCGGTTCTTTGCTATCTCCCTGGTTGCTCTCACCTCACTCTCTGTGAACTTGCCCTTATTTAGGAAAGGGGGAATGTTGACAATTACACCCTCAGGCACAATGTCTGAAATCAAAAATCCCTTATCTGCTAAAATAAGGTCGCCAGCCACAAGATGAGCCAGAATGCCAGACTGCTGCACAATGGACTTATCTGACACAGAGCCTGGGAAGAGTGTGCTGCAAAAATGTATGACTCCATTTGGGGCAACAGAGATGAGCACTTTGAAGGAGTGCATCCCTCTGTAAGTGGAGTACGTCAGCTTCGCTTGGTCCATCTGACTTGGGGCGGCCACGTGGATGTCGGTGCAGTCCACAATCATTCTGGTTTTTTTGACGACTGGGCACAGTAGACATCATCGCTTGGAACAGCAACTTGGGGAGCAGATGGACCATTGTGTTCACCACATTACTCACTGTTGCAGTACTGCAGTGGAACAGCTGTGCAAGATGCAGGTGTGGATAATTTTGGCGAATCTTCATTAAGGCCATGAAGACCTGGTCTATCAGCAGGATGCCCTCCACTTTCCATCCAGCAAAATAGACAATGGAGCCCTCAAAGCGCTCCACCAACCCCACCACCCTTTTAAACATTGCCATATCAGGAAGCCCTGTTTCCATTCGGAAGACATCATCAGGTAAGCCTGCTGCTGAATATTTTCCCATTCCATATGACCTCTTACGATCATCCCCTGCCTGGTCTTCGTAACGACTGGACTGCAAACCGGAGGGTCCAGGTTCGTCGTCGTCTGTGTCTGCGGACTGCACCCTGGAGGGTTCGGGGTTGGTGCCTGCAGACTCAGGCCCTTTGCTGTAGCCGTGGTCGGTGGACTGATTTACAGGTAAGCTCACTTTCTTTTTTGTCCACTCAAATAAACATGGCCCTTTCTCTTTTCCATGTGGAAAATGGCAGCTGCATATTCTTGCGTTGTCATCTGGCTCCCTGTCTGCTCGTCTACAATGAGAAAATTATATAAGGAATTACTAATAATAATTTAAACCTGCCAAATAGTCCCCCTACCCATAGTTTTAACAGTCTGCACTCTTCTATTTATCTTGTGAAGCACATTTAACATTCAGCTTGTGTGTGTTTTGGTTGTCTTTATTTCCAGGTAGAAGAGGACCAAGAGCGAGGAAGTAAGACAGAGCTCTTAAAAGGCCAAACACAGTGTGTTAGGCCTTTTTATGTGTGACACATATATGTAGTGATAAATGGCTTCACCTGAACACTGTTTCTAAATAAAATAAGTTTTCTGCATCATCAGTCATTCTTTCAAAAAAATTACCAATATTTCACATCTGAAACACAAATATTGGTTGTAGACTCAGAATGAAGCACAACTTCATGTCATACAATGAATTGAGTTTATTTGTAATTGTGTAAAAAATATGAGCATTGATTAGCAAGCAGGACCTGCAGGATCTGCAGGAACAGAGAATGGTGATGGATGGAGCTGGGAAGAGAGAAGAATAAAGAAAACAGATCAACTTTATTATCGGATATTAAACATTTAATTTTCAAAAAAAATTGCTGCTCTTACGGACCGTCCACACAGCAGCGTTAAAAGATCTTGGAACGCTTCTGCCCATTCACTTTGAATGGGGTGACGTCACTTTGCCTCACTTTTCGCCGAACTGCATTGTGGGAAGCAGAGCGGAGATTTTCAGGATTTTCAGGATTCAAAGTTGAGCAATGTTCAACTTTTGAAGCTGAGGTGGAAGCGTCAGCCAATCAAATCTCGTGTATGCAAATCTGACAGTTCAAGCGCTAGCCAATCAAACCGCGTGTATGCTGGGAGAGACATACCGCAGGTCATTTCCTCATATTCCAAAAAATGGAGGAGAAATTAGCGGTAGGGAATCACCCGGTGCTTTATGACCAGTCCCTATTTACCTACCGGGATATAAACCGGAGGAGCCAGGCATGGAGGGAGGTGGCAGAGACAGTGGTAGGTTTTCGCCTGTTTGGGGAGTTTATATCCAGTTTACTTCGGGCTTTTTTGCTTCGTATGTCGCGGGCGGGAGATTCATGTGATTGGTTGTTGGTGCCTTGCTCGCAAAAAATCCCCAAGCTTCAGATACGCCCACCTCCAAGATTTTTTTAACGCTGCTGTGTGGACGGGCCGTTACAGTTTTCAAGTGTGTAAAGATGATTTCACATGACTTATGCAAAATATCACACTCAATACATGTGTGTCTATGTGGGGTGCAGCTCTGGGGGGTGCATTGTGCCTTTGATGTATATAAATAATATACCATAACCAAATACGTACAGTGGAAATCAGGTTGCCAGAGCAGGTCAGTCCAGTGTGCATGTTCCTCAAGGTCTCAGCAGAGTTACAGGTGAGGCAAAGAAAATAAAAGAGAAAAAGGTCAGTAACAACACTTGAAACACTTTGAATAATTTTCTCTCAGTAATCACTCAACTACTGTCTTGCCAAAAAACAGACTGACTCACCCTCACTATCATCACAATGAAACACGTCCAGAAGAATGTCATGCAAAGCTGCCTGCCTGCCTGCCTGCGACTCTCCCTGAACTGCCTGATATTTTTAATGTTCAATGTTAACCATTTGTGCAGAAAGCATGAAGTAGAAAAAAGATCGCCAATGCTAATGTAGCGTTAGCCTACATTAGCATCGGCCCCTGGGACCCCAGTGGAGGGTGTACCCGGGCTTAAACCGGTGTGACAGTAGTCTTCAAAGGTTTCACAAAATACTTACCATCATGACTACTCTTACTGTTTAACATTTTGGTTTACTTATGTTACTTCATGTTAAGGCTAATAAAAATGGCAAGGCTAACTAACGTGCTTGCTACTAGCTAGGTAGCTAACTTGACTATGTTCCATGCACAACATGTATTTTACCTGATGTGTTTGATCCAGCGACTCCTGGTCCTTTTATCAGACGGGAAGCGAAAGAATGAGCAAGAGGTATTATTACTGTTATGATAACAACCTGGTACAAAGCACACAGGCATCTTGTTCAAGTAAGTAAGTACAGTAAGTACATTTATTTTAGCTATCTCTTATATTTAGTGGAGGGAATAAATCAGTTATGACATCACTTACGCGACTCTGGGATTTGTAGTCTTTCTAGTTGCGTATTTTTCAAAGTCTTATATTTCAACAGTTTTAAGACAAACTGTGACTTTTGATTGACAAACATCATATGTGTAATTTATGGCACAATTCAAACGGGATCGAAAGATACGTTTTCTCTCCCCATTGACTTCAATGCATAATTTTTCCGAAATAAGGTCCCATTGCCCGGAAGTAGATGGGCGTGACTTCGCCACTCTATCTGCCGGTAGAATCTCCCGCATGAGCAGGCATAAGCTCCGCCCCTCTTTTTTAATCACTTTTTTTTTTTTTTAAGCTTTATACATAAAATCAGCACTTTTGAAACAGGAAGTGAAATAGAGGGATATGAGGCATGGCTAGAATGGGTGATCTGTTTGGTATTTTGAGCAAAACACTTCATAGACCTGTTTTTTATATATTTGTATATATCTGAGACCTATGCTATTGCCTAAAAATAGCATGATAGGTGACCTTTAAACACTTCCGCCAACTCCGGTGTGGATGAAGCAGCATGTCCTGCTCCGGGCTGTCCTCAGACTCTCCATCAGAATCAGCTCCGATTAGACCTTTCTGAATCCCGACAGGATGGTGTCGGTCGGCAGTGAAGCCCATGCTGTGTCCATCCATCCCACAACATCCTGGAAAGTTACATGACGCATCCTCCCAGTTGCCGTGACTTTTTTCTTTTTCTGTGGTACAGCAGTTTTCAGTTGTCACGATTGTATACAGTGCCATCTATTGGCCGGAGTTTGAACGCAGTTAGACAACATTCAATATATAAGTCGCTTCGGAGTATAAATCGCAGGACCAGCCAGACAGGTAAGAAACATGCGACTTATAGTCCGGAAAATACGGTAGATATTAACAAGCTGAAAAAATGAATGCAGAATTCCAACATACTGTCATCAAATGTCTTTCTATTATGAATTTAAATTGCCCTTGTGAAACTAGTCTTGTGTTCATTGCTATCCCCATAATGACCTAAAAAATTGTATTTATGACAAACATGGATGTTGTTTATTATTGATGTTCCAGCAAAAGCAATGTTTGGAATGTTTTAATTTTGCTACGGTAAGTATTGAACGGTGCAGACACAATGACCCGAGTAATGTCCGAAAGGGTTGAGCTCACTATATAATGTTCTATATTTACCTCAGTAGAAAAATAAGCAAGCATGATTGATTTAATTATTTTTGGCAACAGTCTGAGAATCTGCTCACTCTCCATCAGTCTAAGCTGCACTCTAACAGTGTGTGTACCTCTGCAGAGTGATACATGTTGAAGTGTGTGTACACACGTATGTCAAGAGTAGCATGCGTTTATCATCAGATGTCTAACACTCACCTCTGACTCTGAGCTGCTGCTGAGTGGAGGCTGTGCCGACTGTCAGAGCGCCACCTGCTGGACAAACCTGCAACACAGCGGACAGACGGGTATATAATAAACATAGTTACAATTTAGGAAAACATTTGAACATTTTGCAGGGGAGGTTAGAAGACACATGGCTTATTAAGAAAACAAATATTTAATCAAAAAAGAATAACATTGCATAGTAATATAAAATAATCTGATCCACTTACTAAACTTAAACATACTGTATGACTGTATCAAGTCTGCATTTGTACAATGAATAAGATGATATGCAGGTCAGAGGATAATATATCAAATTGTCAATTGGAGTTGTATTTCCTGATTATTTAATTTTTGGTAACACAAAAGATGTTCAAGTTTCAAAATCATGTGACACAAGCTACTGTACCACAAAGGAAAACGTTTCATGGTCTACCTTCAAATGTTTTACTCACTGAATGCTCTAGCATGTTTTTTTCTCAGCAGCAGAGGGAGAAAACAACCTTCTCTCTGATAAACAACCCCAACACACGGACACCCCCCCCTGTCAGTAAACTGTGAACAGGAGGTGAACAGAAAGCTGAGAGTAAAGAGTCTCCTCGTGCTAAACATGATGTTAACTGCCTTCATATGTTGCATCTTTCATCTGGCATGGATAACAGGTTAGATAAAATATTCTTTAAAAAAGTAAGGCACTGCAAAATGAACGGCTAATATCTATAATGTTTCCTGCTTGTTCCGCAGGTGCCTCTAACAGCGTCTTCCAAACGCCTCCGTTCATCATGAAGAGAAGTGGAGAGTCTGTGGACCGGGAGATCAACTGTTCACACAGCATACCAAACTATGATCGCATTCTCTGGTACAAACAAGACCAACATCAAAATATGAAGTTACTGGGATATCTGAATGTGATCTACTCGACTCCAGAGGAGGACGTGAAAGGAAAAATCAGCTTTGACGGAGATGGCCGTAAACAGTCTCGCCTCAGTGTCTCTAATCTGTCATTAGAGGACAGCGGTGTGTATTTCTGTGCAGCCAGTCAGCACAGTGCTGCAGATTCCCCTCAGCTCAATACAAGAACTCTCCTCCGTCTGTCAGAGACAACAAGCTGAGGCTCAGCACCTGCAGCTTTCAGGATAACATGAACTGTTATCAATGAACCCCCTCAGAGCTACTGACAGCATACTTGAATTCTGCCACAGTGTGAAATTAAAATGGTTTAAGCTTTTGTTTTATTACTTACAAGTATCTATTATTGTAAATTATTCAGGCAGGTTTTAAAAAAGAACTTCAAACTGAGGCTTTGATCCCTTTTCTTTAGAGAGCTTTGTGAGACTTCATCATTCTATTTTATATTCAGCTGTAATTTTAAACAATATCAATCCATCTCTTGACAATACATAATTTCTACAACTTGCAACCGAAATGATTAATCCAGGTTACTTCAGCTTCTTAGTGTAACTGATTAGCATTAACTTAATATACTACAATTTCTATTTCTATTTCTGAAATATATTGGACTGTTTATTTCTGTGTCTTAGTTTCTCTTATGTACATTGCCTTGTGTTATTTATGCTGCTGCAACGCAAACATTTCCCAAATTGGGATCAGGGATATCTACAATGTACTGCAGGGGGACCCCTAATACCACTTGATAAAACACTGAAAAGTACTCCGGTGTGAACGCGGCTTTGCTCCAGCTCAGAGGAGGTTATCACACAGACACTCCCACCTGCAGCTCTTCATACTTTATGAGTCTCTGCAGTTTCTGTCAGACATCATGGATGTGATCATCTTTAAACACAGCTTCCTCACAGTGTCCATCTTTTTACTGTGGACTACAGGTAATTTACAATAAAATAGACATTGCACTGGTTAGTAAATATACATTATCATCAACTAATGTTCTTGTGTTTGCTGTTTTTATCATTTATATTGATATTGACGTGATATAAGGAGGATCAAACAACTGAAGGTTATTATAGTATATTTTCTTGTTTCACTCAGGTCTAACTGATGGAAGCGATGTCAACCAGACTGACATCCTGTGGGAAACACAGGGAAAGAGTGCAACAATGAGCTGCACACACACAAAGGGTGCTGCCTACTTCCAGATGTACTGGTACAGACAGCTGCCAGGAGAAACTATGGAGCTAGTTGTGTTCACAACACCAATGAACAAAGATAATCATGATTTTGGAGGATTCAGCAAAGACAAGTTCTCAGCCACAAAGCCTGACGCTGAGAGCGGGACGTTCACAGTGAAGAATCTGCAGCCAGGAGACAAAGGCTTGTACTTCTGTGCTGTGAGTCAACACAGTGACACACACAGGAGGAGGCTGAACAAAAACCCCAGATATTTGGCTGTTAGTGATTCTATGTGTCTGCTGTCCTGTAGGGGGACCTCCAGTTTAATCACAGAATCATTCAGTTCAGAGACGCTCCCAGCTGTTCATCTCTCTGTTGTAACCTCACACCTCCATCACACACACTGACTATAAGACTGATCACAGCTGCTCTGATTAAACTAACCCTAACCCTGGACAGGAGGTTCTGGATGTTACAAATCAAATACAGAGCTTTGTTGATGATTCTGACAGTAGAGCAGAGACTCACTGGTGGTTCTGGAACATGTGGTTTTGTGTTTGACCCTCACAGGTGTATTGGTGGGAGTGATGTGATCCAGTCCTCTTTGCTTTAAACACTGCAGTCACACAAAGGACCTTAGCTATATCCAAATGTTTTAATGTGGGCTTCAACCGACGATTACTTTTTGTTATGCATTAACCTGCCCATTATTTTCTAGAGGAAATTGTTTAGTCTTCAAAATGTCAGAAAAAAGTAAAAGTCCATAAGTCCATAGTAATGTCTTGTCAGTTTATAACCCACACATGTTTAGTTCATGTGATCCAAAAATTAGATTTGAGAGGCTGAAACATCTAATTTGCATTGTTTACATAAAACAAATGTTGTTGATTAGTCATTGCAGCTCTACTCGTACCATATCTGAATTATTTACATCACATGACCATCAGCTTCGTGGTGTAACTGTTCAGCGTTAAAGTAAACAAACTGTGATGTACTTCAGGGGGACCCCCAGTACCACCTTTACTTTGTAAAATACTGAGTACTACCTCACAGGATGTGATCACATGATGCAGGGACACTCCCACCTGCAGCTCTTCATACTTTATGAGTCTCTGCAGTTTCTGTCAGACATCATGGATGTGATCATCTTTAAACACAGCTTCCTCACAGTGTCCATCTTTTTATTTTGGACTACAGGTAATACTGTGCACTGCTTTACTCATCAATATCAAATTAATAATGTTCATGTTTTATGCTAATTAAGGTGTTGTAGTTAATTAAGGTGTCTTTTTTGTCGACACTCAGGTCTAACTGATGGAAGCGATGTCACCCAGACAGACATGCTGTGGGAAACACAGGGAGACAATGCAACCATGAGCTGCAGACACAAAAAGGATGCTACCTATTTCCAGATGTACTGGTACAGACAACTGCCAGGAGAAACTATGGAACTAGTTGTGTTCACAACACCAATGAACAAAGATAATCATGATTTTGGAGGATTCAGCAAAGACAAGTTCTCAGCCACAAAGCCTGACGCTGAGAGCGGGACGTTCACAGTGAAGAATCTGCAGCCAGGAGACAAAGGCTTGTACTTCTGTGCTGTGAGTGAACACAGTGACACACACACAGGAGGAGGCTGAACAAAAACCCCAGATATTTGGCTGTTAGTGATTCTATGTGTCTGCTGTCCTGTAGGGGGACCTCCAGTTTAATCACAGAATCATTCAGTTCAGAGACGCTCCCAGCTGTTCATCTCTCTGTTGTAACCTCACACCTCCATCACACACACTGACTATAAGACTGATCACAGCTGCTCTGATTAAACTAACCCTAACCCTGGACAGGAGGTTCTGGATGTTACGACTCAAATACAGAGCTGTGTTGATGATTCTGACAGTAGAGCAGAGACTCACTGGTGGTTCTGGAACATGACATGTGGTTTTGTGTTTGACCCTCACAGGTGTATTGGTGGGAGTGATGTGATCCAGTCCTCTTTGCTTTAAACACTGCAGTCACACAAAGGACCTTAGCTATTTCCAAATCTTTTAATGTGGGCTTCAACCGACGATTACTTTTTGTTATGCATTAACCTGCCCATTATTTTCTAGAGGAAATTGTTTAGTCTTCAAAATGTCAGGAAATGGTAAAAGTTCATAAGTCCATAGTAATGTCTTGTTGTCGGTTTATAACCCACACATATTTACTTTATGTGATCTAAAAATTAGATTTGTGAGGCTGAAACATCTAATTTTTATTGTTTACATAAAAAATGTTTTTGTTGATTACTCGTACCATATCTGAATTCTGTAAATCACATGACCATCAGCTTCGTGGTGTAACTGTTCAGCGTTAAAGTAAACAAACTGTGATGTACTTCAGGGGGACCCCCAGTACCACCTATACTACCAACTTTACTTTGTGAAATACTGAGTACTACCTCACAGGATGTGATCACATGATGCAGGGACACTCCCACTTGCAGCTCTTCATACTTTATGAGGCTCAGCAGTTTCTGTCAGACATCATGGATGTGATCATCTTTAAACACAGCTTCCTCACAGTGTCCATCTTTTTACTGTGGACTACAGGTAATACTGTGCACTGCTTTACTCATCAATATCAAATAATGTTCATGTTTTATGCTAATTAAGGTGTCGTTTTTGTCGACACTCAGGTCTAACTGATGGAAGCGATGTCACCCAGACTGACATGCTGTGGGAAACACAGGGAGAGAGTGCAACAATGAGCTGCACACACACAAAGGGTGTTGGCTACTACCAGATGTACTGGTACAGACAACTGCCAGGAGAAACTATGGAGCTAATCGTGTTCACAATATCAGGGAACAAAGATAATCATGATTTTAGAGGATTCAGCAAAGACAAGTTCTCAGCCACAAAGCCTGACGCTGAGAGCGGGACGTTCACAGTGAAGGATCTGCAGCCAGGAGACAAAGGCTTGTACTTCTGTGCTGTGAGTGAACACAGTGACACACACACAGGAGGAGGCTGAACAAAAACCCCATATATTTGGCTGTTAGTGATTCTATGTGTCTGCTGTCCTGTAGGGGGACCTCCAGTTTAATCACAGAATCATTCAGTCAGAGACCCTCCCAGCTGTTCATCTCTCTGTTGTAACCTCACACCTCCATCACACACACTGACTATAACACTGATCACAGCTGCTCTGATTAAACTAACCCTAAACTGGAGGTTATGGATGTTCTGGAGGTTCTGGATGTTACAAATTAAATACATAGCTTATATGTTGATGATTCTGACAGTAGAGCAGAGACTCACTGGTGGTTCTGGAACATGACATGTGGTTTTGTGTTTGACCCTCACAGGTGTATTGGTGGGAGTGATGTGATCCAGTCCTCTTTGCTTTAAACACTGCAGTCACACAAAGGACATTAGCTATTTCCAAATGTTTTAATGTGGGCTTCAACCGACGATTACTTTTTGTTATGCATTAACCTGCCCATTATTTTCTAGAGGAAATTGTTTAGTCTTCAAAATGCAGAGGTGGGGACTCGAGTCACATGACTTGACTCGAGTCAGACTCGAGTCGCATATTTTTTGACTTGAGACTTGCTTGACTAACATTGATAAAAGACTTGACTTGACTTTGACTTAGTATTCATGACTTGAGACTTGACTTAAGCTTGAGACAGATGACTTGAAAGGACTTGTCTGTTTAAAATTAAATATTTGCGTTTGTTTTTGTAGTGAGATATTACATTTAGTTTTTTCGAAAAACGTGATTGGGTGATTATAGCGCCATGCGCGCAAACCTGGCAACCCACTAGAAGGCAGGAGTGTCAGTTAACATGGCAGCGGCTAGCGTTACTCCACAAATAGTGAAGTTTGGATTCAAGGATTATGTTGTCGATGACGCTAATAAGAAGAGAACAGCGGTATGCAGGGTCTGCAGCATAAAGATCAGTGACACGACCACCACAACATCCAACTTCATTCGTCACTACAAAAAAACCCAGAGAAAGGTGCGTGAATGTGTTGTGTTAGCTAGAAAGCTAACGTTAAGTTTAAGCTACTTTAGACTTGGTTTCAAATCGATTAAGCATTGCAAAGAGAAGACAAAACGGTAAATGAACACTAGAACCGCCAAGGGATTCATTTGTACTAACCCTGATACTGACGGGCTGTCAGGAGGGGGAGAGAGAGAGAGGAAAAGAGATGCCTCGTTTATTTCCCCTGTGTTATTATCAGAAGTTACTGTAAACTGTTGAATAATGTAGTTCATCTACTTTTAGTAGTTTGTTTAAATGTTTTAATTATGGTGTTTTTGTTTGTAGAAGTGCATCATTCCTTGATTTATTGTAAAATGAATCTGAACTTTTTGATCTGTTATGATGATAAACTGAAGCAATTTCTAAATTAACCCAATTAAGTGAGTTTTAAATCGTCCTACTTAGTTTATAAGGAAATGATGAAGAGGAACAAATTAAATGATTTGAAAATGATATCTATGTAGGTGCTGATGCTGTTGGCGGTTCTAGTGTTAACAGACATTTAAATTAAATATGTGTAATGGCAAATGCCATATATGATTTTCTTACCTGGAATTCTGCCTTTTTTAACAGACTTTTTGATTGAGTCCTAGCTATATTGTCTGCAGTTCTGGGGTTAATATGAATCTAATATGATTGTCATCGGTCTAAATTAGATTTCAAATGATTAACTGTGTATGTAATGAAGATCATAGTGTGGGTTGAATCCATTTTCATAACCATTGTCTTTTAACTGATTTAAATGCGGAAACTGGGCTTATTCATCAGAATTTCGTATGACTTGACTTGACTTGCTTGACTCTCACCACAGTGACTTGGGACTTGCTTGATACTTGTAGGTCAAGACTTGAGACTTGCTCATGACTTGCACATGTAGGACTTACTCCCACCTCTGTCAAAATGTCAGAAAAAAGTAAAAGTCCATAAGTCCATAGTAATGTCTTGTTTTGTCAGTTTATAACCCAGACATCTTTACTTTATGTGATCCAAAAATTAGATTTGAGAGGCTGAAACATCTAATTTGCATTGATCACATAAAACAAATGTTGTTGATTAGTCATTGCAGCTCTACTCGTACCATATCTGAATTATTTACATCACATGACCATCAGCTTTGTGGTGTAACTGTTCAGCGTTAAAGTAAACAAACTGTGATGTACTTCAGGGGGACCCCCAGTACCACCTTTACTTTGTGAAATACTGAGTACTACCTCACAGGATGTGATCACATGATGCAGGGACACTCCCACCTGCAGCTCTTCATACTTTATGAGTCTCAGCAGTTTCTGTCAGACATCATGGATGTGATCATCTTTAAACACAGCTTCCTCACAGTGTCCATCTTTTTACTGTGGACTACAGGTAATACTGTGCACTGCTTTACTCATCAATATCAAATAATGTTCATGTTTTATGCTAATTAAGGTGTTGTAGTTAATTAAGGTGTCTTTTTTGTCGACACTCAGGTCTAACTGATGGAAGCGATGTCACCCAGACTGACATGCTGTGGGAAACACAGGGAGACAATGCAACAATGAGCTGCACACACACAAAGGGTGGTACCTATTTCCAGATGTACTGGTACAGACAACTGCCAGGAGAAACTATGGAGCTAGTTGTGTTCACAATATCAGGGAACAAAGATAATCATGATTTTGGAGGATTCAGCAAAGACAAGTTCTCAGCCACAAAGCCTGACGCTGAGAGCGGGACGTTCACAGTGAAGAATCTGCAGCCAGGAGACAAAGGCTTGTACTTCTGTGCTGTGAGTCAACACAGTGACACACACACAGGAGGAGGCTGAACAAAAACCCCAGATATTTGGCTGTTAGTGATTCTATGTGTCTGCTGTCCTGTAGGGGGACCTCCAGTTTAATCACAGAATCATTCAGTTCAGAGACGCTCCCAGCTGTTCATCTCTCTGTTGTAACCTCACACCTCCATCACACACACTGACTATAACACTGATCACAGCTGCTCTGATTAAACTAACCCTAACCCTGGACTGGAGGTTCTGGATGTTACGACTCAAATACAGAGCTGTGTTGATGATTCTGACAGTAGAGCAGAGACTCACTGGTGGTTCTGGAACATGACATGTGGTTTTGTGTTTGACCCTCACAGGTGTATTGGTGGGAGTGATGTGATCCAGTCCTCTTTGCTTTAAACACTGCAGTCACACAAAGGATGTTAGCTATATCCAAATGTTTTAATGTGGGCTTCAACCGACGATTACTTTTTGTTATGCATTAACCTGCCCATTATTTTCTAGAGGAAATTGTTTAGTCTTCAAAATGTCAGAAAAAAGTAAAAGTCCATAAGTCCATAGTAATGTCTTGTTTTGTCAGTTTATAACCCGAAAAATATTTAGTTCATGTGATCCAAAAATTAGATTTGAGAGGCTGAAACATCTAATTTGCATTGTTTACATAAAACAAATGTTGTTGATTAGTCATTGCAGCTCTACTCGTACCATATCTGAATTATTTACATCACATGACCATCAGCTTCGTGGTGTAACTGTTCAGCGTTAAAGTAAACAAACTGTGATGTACTTCAGGGGGACCCCCAGTACCACCTTTACTTTGTGAAATACTGAGTACTACCTCACAGGATGTGATCACATGATGCAGGGACACTCCCACCTGCAGCTCTTCATACTTTATGAGTCTCAGCAGTTTCTGTCAGACATCATGGATGTGATCATCTTTAAACACAGCTTCCTCACAGTGTCCATCTTTTTACTGTGGACTACAGGTAATACTGTGCACTGCTTTACTCATCAATATCAAATAATGTTCATGTTTTATGCTAATTAAGGTGTTGTAGTTAATTAAGGTGTCTTTTTTGTCGACACTCAGGTCTAACTGATGGAAGCGATGTCACCCAGACTGACATGCTGTGGGAAACACAGGGAGACAATGCAACAATGAGATGCACACACAAAAAGGATGCTACCTACTTCCAGATGTACTGGTACAGACAACTGCCAGGAGAAACTATGGAGCTAGTTGTGTTCACAATATCAGGGAACAAAGATAATCATGATTTTGGAGGATTCAGCAAAGACAAGTTCTCAGCCACAAAGCCTGACGCTGAGAGCGGGACGTTCACAGTGAAGAATCTGCAGCCAGGAGACAAAGGCTTGTACTTCTGTGCTGTGAGTCAACACAGTGACACACACACAGGAGGAGGCTGAACAAAAACCCCAGATATTTGGCTGTTAGTGATTCTATGTGTCTGCTGTCCTGTAGGGGGACCTCCAGTTTAATCACAGAATCATTCAGTTCAGAGACGCTCCCAGCTGTTCATCTCTCTGTTGTAACCTCACACCTCCATCACACACACTGACTATAACACTGATCACAGCTGCTCTGATTAAACTAACCCTGGACAGGAGGTTCTGGACGTTACAAATCAAATACAGAGATTATGTGTTGATGATTCTGACAGTAGAGCAGAGACTCACTGGTGGTTCTGGAACATGACATGTGGTTTTGTGTTTGACCCTCACAGGTGTATTGGTGGGAGTGATGTGATCCAGTCCTCTTTGCTTTAAACACTGCAGTCACACAAAGGACCTTAGCTATTTCCAAATCTTTTAATGTGGGCTTCAACCGACGATTACTTTTTGTTATGCATTAACCTGCCCATTATTTTCTAGAGGAAATTGTTTAGTCTTCAAAATGTCAGGAAATGGTAAAAGTTCATAAGTCCATAGTAATGTCTTGTTGTCGGTTTATAACCCACACATATTTACTTTATGTGATCTAAAAATTAGATTTGTGAGGCTGAAACATCTAATTTGTATTGTTTACATAAAAAATGTTTTTGTTGATTAGTCGTACCATATCTGAATTCTGTAAATCACATGACCATGAGCTTCGTGGTGTAACTGTTCAGCGTTAAAGTAAACAAACTGTGATGTACTTCAGGGGGACCCCCAGTACCACCTATACTACCAACTTTACTTTGTGAAATACTGAGTACTACCTCACAGGATGTGATCACATGATGCAGGGACACTCCCACCTGCAGCTCTTCATACTTTATGAGGCTCTGCAGTTTCTGTCAGACATCATGGATGTGATCATCTTTAAACACAGCTTCCTCACAGTATCCATCTTTTTACTGTGGACTACAGGTAATACTGTGCACTGCTTTACTCATCAATATCAAATTAATAATGTTCATGTTTTATGCTAATTAAGGTGTTGTAGTTAATTAAGGTGCTGTTTTTGTCGGCACTCAGGTCTAACTGATGGAAGCGATGTCACCCAGACTGACATGCTGTGGGAAACACAGGGAGACAATGCAACAATGAGCTGCACACACACAAAGGGTGTTGCCTACTACCAGATGTACTGGTACAGACAACTGCCAGGAGAAACTATGGAGCTAGTTGTGTTCACAATATCAGGGAACAAAGATAATCATGATTTTGGAGGATTCGGCAAAGACAAGTTCTCAGCCACAAAGCCTGACGCTGAGAGCGGGACGTTCACAGTGAAGGATCTGCAGCCAGGAGACAAAGGCTTGTACTTCTGTGCTGTGAGTCAACACAGTGACACACACACAGGAGGAGGCTGAACAAAAACCCCAGATATTTGTCTGTTAGTGATTCTATGTGTCTGCTGTCCTGTAGGGGGACCTCCAGTTTAATGACAGAATCATTCAGTTCAGAGACGCTCCCAGCTGTTCATCTCTCTGTTGTAACCTCACACCTCCATCACACACACTGAAGGCTTCTCAATTCTCTAATTTCCCCTCCTCGGTCCTCCGGTAGTGACCCGGAAATGGTTTTCAGCGCGCCATGTTGAAGGACATCTCATTTCTCTAAATGCACATCGAGGACCGAGGACCGAGCATCGAGCATCGAGGAGGCTCTCTGGAGGAGCTATAATCGAGGATAAACTGATGGCTCCTCCGCGGATGCATTTCCGGCAACAGAGATGTTTCAAAGAGTCGTGACGCACAGCCGGACTTATCTCAGCCAATGACAGCTCTGCATGCATCCCCTGGATATTATTGTATTAACTGCTTTCATCGCGACACGATGTTTACAGTGAGAACAGCTGTGAGGTCCGTGCAGAAAGCAGAGCAGTGTGTAAAATATATATCACTCAGTATAACAGGCCTACATTACTCTCTGTATTTGTATGCTTTAGTTTAGTAGATATCTACAAACAAAGAGTCGATATTCTTCTAAGACCATTTAGTGCTTCACATAATAAAATACACAACGTCTGTATCCTGATATATATTATATGCTTTAGGAGCTGTAGGTGTGTGTTGTACAGTGTGTAGGTGTGTGTTGTACAGTGTGTAGGTGTGTGTTGGTGTGCAGGTGCGTGTTGTACAGTGTGTAGGTGTGTGTTGGACGTCTCTTTAAAATGACCGCTCAGAGGAGAGGAGTTCTAATTTCTCTAAACGCCTGCTGCTTCCCCTCCTCTCTCCTCAGTTCCCCTCCTCGACTCCTCCGCTCGCATCTCCTGTGGGCGGGACTAAGCCACGAGGATAGGAGTCGAGGAGGGGAAATGAGAGAATTGAGAAGCCTTCACTGACTATAACACTGATCACAGCTGCTCTGATTAAACTAACCCTAACCCTGGACTGGAGGTTCTGGATGTTACGACTCAAATACAGAGCTGTGTTGATGATTCTGACAGTAGAGCAGAGACTCACTGGTGGTTCTGGAACATGACATGTGGTTTTGTGTTTGACCCTCACAGGTGTATTGGTGGGAGTGATGTGATCCAGTCCTCTTTGCTTTAAACACTGCAGTCACACAAAGGATGTTAGCTATATCCAAATGTTTCAATGTGGGCTTCAACCGACGATTACTTTTTGTTATGCATTAACCTGCCCATTATTTTCTAGAGGAAATTGTTTAGTCCATAAGTCCATAGTAATGTCTTGTTTTGTCAGTTTATAACCCACACATCTTTAGTTCATGTGATCCAAAGATTTGATTTGTGAAGCTGAAACTAGTTTGCATTGTTTACATAAAACAATGTTTTGTTGATTAGTCATTGCAGCTCTACTCGTAACATATCTGAATTCTTTACATCACATGACCATCAGCTTCGTGGTGTAACTGTTCAGCGTTAAAGTAAACAAACTGTGATGTACTTCAGGGGGAGCCCCAGTACCTCCTATACTACCACCTTTACTTTGTGAAATACTGAGTACTACCTCACAGGATGTGATCACATGATGCAGGGACACTCCCCCCTGTAGCTCTTCATACTTTATGAGTCTCTGCAGTTTCTGTCAGACATCATGGATGTGATCATCTTTAAACACAGCTTCCTCACAGTGTCTATCTTTTTACTGTGGAGTACAGGTAATACTGTGCACTGCTTTACTCATCAATATCAAATTAATAATGTTCACGTTTTATGCTAATTAAGGTGTTGTTTTTGTCGACACTCAGGTCTAACTGATGGAAGCGATGTCACCCAGACTGACATGCTGTGGGAAACACAGGGAGACAATGCAACAATGAGCTGCAAACACACAAAGGGTGTTAACTACAACCAGATGTACTGGTACAGACAACTGCCAGGAGAAACTATGAAGCTCATCGTGTACACACTATGGGGGATCAATGATCATGATTTTGGAGAATTCAGTAGCAAAGACAAGTTCTCAGCCACAAAGCCTGACGCTGAGAGCGGGACGTTCACAGTGAAGGATCTGCAGCCAGGAGACAAAGGCTTGTACTTCTGTGCTGTGAGTCAACACAGTGACACACACACAGGAGGAGGCTGAACAAAAACCCCTCTGTTGGTGTCACATGAATAAAAGAGATCAGTGAGTTCAATTATCTGCAGGTGGAGCTCGACACTGCAGACTGGTTTTTAGTATGCAGTATCATTTGTGACTTGTTGTGAAATCACAGGCAATACATAGACATTGTTCTCCATACTGCTGCTGAGCATGTTTCCGGATGTTTGTAGAATTTCATTCAGTTCAGAGATAATTTTTTATTATCATGTGAACAGTGAAATGTATAGACATATACTTGTCAATTGTGTTTTTCGTTTTTTTTGTTAAATTGTTTTTCATTTGCCTTTGTGACTCTTTTCCTCTCACCCCTGTTTGACAGTTCAATGTCTGTTCTGTGTTTTGTGACTGAGTTTAGAATATAAAACATTTCATCTATAGACCATCGCCTCCGTGTTTAATGTCAAAGTTATGTGAAGTGCACCTCGGAACAAAAGCACAATGAAAATGTTAGTTATTAATATAAAATGTAGTTACATTATGTTTGACTACTAACTAATGTTTGAGCTAGAGAGCAGGACTTTTACATGTTGACATATAAATGTATGTCCATTACGGAAGAATGATGGAAGAATACTGGTTCAAAGCAGTATTCTGACATTAGTAAAGATTAGCTAAGGCCTGCGTAAGCAATAAACATGACAGTCATATGTCTATCTCTCTAGGGGCTGTGTCATCATGCCAGTCTTAGGAACATTCATTTCATTTCATTTCAAACCTTTATTTATCCAGGTGTATCCCATTGAGATCATTGATCTATTTTTCAAGGGAGACCTGCTCAAGTAGGTTCCACATGAAACATAAAAACATAAACAGAACAACAAAAAGGACATAGCTATCATAACTTCAACACAGTGTCTCATGAGTGTCATCCATGTAGTCATACATCCGGCTACGTACACAGCTACGTAGGGCCTCTGTTATCATGTGCTACTCTGATATAGAAGGAACATTCAGTATTTTCCCAACAAAACTTATTCAGACCAATTATTTGAAAAAATAAAAGCAGTCTTGAGATTCCAGAAGTAGGAACCAGTACATGATTTGTTTTGTCTTGATAAGTTGTATTGCCATCTACATTATATATTGAAGATGAACGTGTCACATGTCTGTCTCCTCCCCTCTAAGTTGACTCTGGTTGTGTTCAGTCGGTCTGAGAGAGGAGGGTGAAGACATCATGATCAGAGACATCATGATCAGAGACATCCTCAACATCTCCCTGCTGCTGCTCCTGCTCTCCTGTATGGTTCTATTCAAAGTCTTTGCTGGAGGTTTAATCTTTTGTAAACATTTCTGTGTTCCTAAAGCTTTTCTCTTTAAATGCAGGTCTTTCACTGAGCAGTGAAGTCTTGCAGGATCCATCATCGATATTAGGAAGTCCTGACACTCCAGCAACAATCAGCTGCAGCCATTCAATCAGTTCATATAATATGATCCTGTGGTACCAGCAGCCGAGGGGCCACTCACACCTCAACCTCATTGGATATGTTTATGCTACTATCCAATCCATTGAGGATGCATTCAAAGGGCATTTCGAAGTGAGTGGAGACGGCTCAGAGAAGTCTGAACTCCATGTGCTGAAGCTCAGACAGCCAGAAGACAGCGCAATGTATTTCTGTGCAGCTAGTCGACACAGTGACTCAGAGTCGCTCTCGCTGCGACAAAAACCCTCTCTGATAATCAGCCTCATGAAATCCCTCTGATGAACAACACACCTGCATCACACTGTGGCAGGAAGTCACCACGATACCATCAGCATACCAGTGGAAACCAACAATACTGTACAATATGAAACTTTCTCATTATTGATCAAACTGCCAATTATTTCATTTAGTAAAACATTTAGATTCCTGTTCCTTAAAGTCCAAGGTGAAGTCTTTAGATGCCTTGTTTTGTCAGTCCAAAATAAAGGTGCAAATTGCTAAATGCTGATTGACAACTTTGGAGGGAGTGGTAATTTATGCATTAGTATTCAATTTGGATAATAAGACAAAAAATGCTGCAATTAAAACAATTTAAAGATGTCAATACAGTTGCAGATTTGTTGCTTTGTTGATTGATTTATCCACTGCAGACTTGGGACAGCCCATAACGTCGACCCCTCCTACTTTATTTTCACATCGATAGCTAAGTTCAGTCAGCATTCTAGTTTTGTTTTCATCTGCGTTAGGATCATGGTTACACTCCTTGTACTTTTAGCAGCTTTGCCGTTCTGCTTAACAGGTAATATTCAATTAACTCCTAAAAGGTACCAGAATCCACGTTTATCTCAAAGTTGTTGGTTTAAAAAGTTTCTGGAGAACTTGCCCTTCTTTTTTTCTCCATGGTTGTTGTTGTTTTTGTCTTTATATTTTAATTAAGTCTGACAACTATGTGACTCCACTACCTCCTCTGTCTCTCAACGTCATGTTTTGCAGTCATACTCTTGTATTGTTTCCTCTTTATTTGTACTATAAATAACTAAATAAATATGTGTTTCAGAACCGTCAAAGAACAGTGTTCATCAGAATCCCTCGGCGCTGATCAAACACCATGGAGAAGAAGTCCTGATAACGTGCAACCATTCAAGCACAAGATTTGATCAGATCCAGTGGTATAAACAGTCTGCTGGGGGAAATGACATGGTGCTACTCGGCTATGTACGATACACTAATCCAACTGTGGAAGCTCAATTTAAAGGCACTTATAACGTGAGTGGTAATGGGCAAAGTCTGGCACATCTTCATATTCCAAAGACACGTCGATCTGAAGACAGCGCAGTTTATTTCTGTGCTGCCAGCGAAGCACAGTGCTGCAAAAACCCTGCGTCTTCAACATAAACTCCCTCTAATGCAGCCGGATACACAATGTTGAATTACCACATGAATAAGGAATAAACCACAGTGAGTGACTGATATCAGACAGCTGGCTCAGTAAAAGACAGTCAGATTTTTCATAATCCTTTAACAGAGAGGGAATAACAAGGAAAAGACATACATTTTTAATTATATTATTTTAAGGCTTTTGGAGAGTGCTGTGTATTTTTGTGCTGTCAGCAAACTGGTTGACATTACATTTGAATGTTTCTGTCACTCCAGTAGGTGGCGCTGTAGCTCTAGAAATACTCTCATGCTACACATGAAGCACTCTGAAATATAAAGTAGCTAGGGAATATATGAAAGGAGGATGTTGATAAAGAGTCGACAGCATCAGAGCCACGCAGTGTGTTCACTCAGAGAGGACAAGATGCCAACATTATTCTTTTTATCCTGGCTCATTGGTAAAATATTTAACCATTCAAAAATAACACTCTATCTATAGATCCTGAATTGATTGATGATATATTTTTCTTTTTAGGTATTTGTGTGAGTCTTGATGTGCGTCAGTCTCCCTCTCTTATCAAAAAACCTGGAGACAAAGTGCAGATCTCCTGCAGCCATGATAAAACGGACTACAGATTGATGCTCTGGTACCAGCGCTCACCTGGAGACACAGCTCTGAAACTCATCGGGTATTTGAATTACCAAGCTGTCACAATGGAGGAGCCATATAAAGAACATTTCAATATCTCTGGAGATTTGAGTAGAGTAATTAATGGCTCTCTTACAGTCCGAAAGACTGGAGTTGAGCACAGTGCTGTTTACTTCTGTGCAGCCAGCCAAGCACAGTGACTGTAGCTTCCTTCTCCTTCAAACAAAAACGTCCAACCCTTATCAGTATTTATGGTTGTCAATGACACATTCAACAGTCCCCTCCCAGTCAGCTGCATTCATCACTTCCCTTTCCTCTTCAAACTTCACTCACTCAGTGGAGGCATCTGCAGATCTCCATCACTGACAGAGTCACACTCAGTGATCTGATACAAGATCCCAGAGACTTACATCTAAAATTCATCATAGTCAGCCTGACAAGTCATAATGATCGACTTTCTCCTCTTCTGTTGTCTGGCAGGTGAACAAATATAAACAGCATGGGTTGAATCATTGTTTTTTTTTTCTCATTATCTAAGATTTTGTAACAATGTTTGTTTTATTTTTCTTTATCCAGGTGTTAGTCTGGGTCTTGATGTGCGTCAGTCTCCCTCTGAGCTCATCAAATCTCCTGGAGACAAAGTGCAGATCTCCTGCAGCCACGATAGAATGGACTACAGGGTGATGCTCTGGTACCAGCGCTCACCTGGAGACACAGCTCTGAAACTCATCGGGTATTTGTATTATAAAGATGCCACAATGGAGGAGCCATTTAAAGAACATTTCAATATCTCTGGAGATTTGCGTGGAGATTCGGTAAAGAATGGCTCTCTTACAGTCCGAAAGACTGGAGTTGAGCACAGTGCTGTTTACTTCTGTGCAGCCAGCCAAGCACAGTGACTGTAGCTTCCTTCTCCTTAATACAAAAACGTCCAACCCTTATCAGTATTTATGGTTGTCAATGACACATTCAACAGTCCCCTCCCAGTCAGCTGCATTCATCACTTCCCTTTCCTCTTCAAACTTCACTCAATCAGTGGAGGCATCTGCAGATCTCCATCACTGACAGAGTCACACTCAGTGATCTGATATAAGATCCCAGAGACCATATCTAAAATTCATCATAGTCATCCTGACAAGTCATAATGATCGACTTTCTCCTCTTCTGTTGTCTGGCAGGTGAACAAATATAAACAGCATGGGTTGAATCGTTGTTTTTTTTCTCATAATCTATGATTTTGTAATGAACAATACCATAAATGAACATTTATGAATAAACAATGTTTGTTTTATTTTTCTTTATCCAGGTGTTAGTCTGGGTCTTGATGTGCGTCAGTCTCCCTCTGATCTCATCAAATCTCCTGGAGACAAAGTGCAGATCTCCTGCAGCCATGATAGAAAGGACTACAGGGTGATTCTCTGGTACCAGCGCTCACCTGGAGACACAGCTCTGAAACTCATCGGGTATTTGTATTTTAAAGAGGCCACAATGGAGCAGCCATTTAAAGAGGATTTTAACATCTCTGGAGATTTGGGTGGGAGTACAGCAAAGAATGCCTCTCTAATATTCAAAGCTGTGAAACCAGAGCACGGTGCAGTTTACTTCTGTGCAGCCAGCAAAGCACAGTGACTGTAGCTTCCTTCTCCTTAATACAAAAACATCCAACCCTTATCAGTAGTTATGGTTGTAAATGACACATTCATCAGTCCCCTCCCAGTCAGCTGCATGGAGTTTCTTCATCACTTCCCTTTCCTCTTCAAACCTCACTCACTCAGTGGAGGCATCTGCAGACCTCCATCCCTGACAGAATCAAACTAAAATACTTTGTCATAGTCAGCCTGACATGTCCTGCTTTATTTTTGAATAAGTCATAATGATCAGCTTTCTCCTCTTCGGTTGTCTGGCAGGTGAACAAATATAACCAGCATGGTTTGAATCATGGGTTTCTCATAATCTATGATTTTGTAACAATGATTATTTTATGTTCTTTATCCAGGTGTTAGTCTGGGTCTTGATGTGCGTCAGTCTCCCTCTGATCTCATCAAATCTCCTGGAGACAAAGTGCAGATCTCCTGCAGCCATGATAGAACGGACTACAGGGTGATTCTCTGGTACCAGCGGTCACCTGGAGACACAGCTCTGAAACTCATCGGGTATTTGTATTTTAAAGAGGCCACAATGGAGGAGCCATTTAAAGAGGATTTTAACATCTCTGGAGATTTGGGTGGGAGTACTGCAAAGAATGCCTCTCTAATATTCAAAGCTGTGAAACCAGAGCACGGTGCAGTTTACTACTGTGCAGCGAGAGAAGCACGCTGACAGGAATCCCCTCTGAACTTTACAAAAACTCTGAACCAATCTTCTCTCATGAGCTTTTTAATAAGACGTGGAATAAACTGCTCACAGACACACCTGCGTTTGTGGTTGTATTTTGGTTTGATGCAATCATTTCATCATCAGCAAATACACTTGTGTTTGTATTTTTTTGGTTTATTACAATTTAACAAGGCAAATATGCAGTAACATAATTTAATATCTGATAAAGTACGTCGATAAATATAGAAAAATATATCTTACATGAAGCCACTCCTCCTTCCTACATCACATCTGCCTCCTCCTTAAAATGTGACTGTGAGAGAGTATAGCAGCAGATAATTGTTCATGACCTAACGATCACTGCATTTCATCCATCACTTCAGTCTCTACAAGATGATTACATTTCTCATTTGCCATTTCCTCACGGGTAACAACTACTTTACAGTACTTTACTTTCAATTTCCCATCTAAAACCAATAATGTGTCCTCCTCTGTTTACAGCAGGTGTTTCTCTGGGGGTTCAGGTCCACCAGTCTCCCTCTGCAGCCATCAGAAAGGCCGGAGAAGACGTGCAGCTTTTCTGCACTCACGGACAAACCGACTACAGAGTGATGCTGTGGTACCAGCAGCCCCCCGGGGACAAGGCTCTGGAACTCATTGGATATGTAGATTATACTAAAATAAGCAATGAAGAATTATATAAAGAGCATTTCAATATCACTGGAGATTTAAGTGGAAACACAGGAAAGAATGGTTCTCTGTTTATAGCAGACCTGAAGGCATCTGAGCACAGTGCAGTGTACTTCTGTGCAGCTCGGTATGCACCATGAGACACATCTCCTTTCAACTAAACAAAAACTTGGCACCATATTTTATCAGCTGTGGTTTTTATCTGATTCCGAACGCTGCTGCTGAGTCCTCACCAACACTAAGAAAGTGGAGAACATAACTCCAGTTCTGAGGTCTTTACACTGGTTTCCTGTCTGTCAAATAATTGATTTCATTTTAAATGCTATTTTATTTCCATTTCTGAAATAAGTTGTTTAATTCTGTGTCTTAATTTCTCTTATGTACATTGCCTTCTGTTTTTATGCTGCTGCAACGCAAACATTTCCCAAATTGGGATCAATAAAGTACCGTCCGTCTGTCCGTCCGTCTGTCCATCTGTCCGTCTGTCTGTCTGTCTGAATGTCTGAATGTCTGTCTGTTTGTCTTCAAAATACTGCTGCTGGTTTATAAAGCATTGAATGGTTTAGGGCCAAAATACATTTCTGATCTCCTGCTAAATTATGAACCATCCAGAACACTCAGGTCTTCTGGTCTGCTTTCTGTCCCCAGAGTCAGAACTAAACATGGAGAAGTTCAGTTATTATGCTCCAAATATCTTGAACAAACTCCCAGAAACCTGCAGGTCCGCTGCAACTCTGACTACTTTTAAATCCAGGCTGAAGACCTTTCTTTTTGCCGCTGCTTTTAATTTATATATTCATACCTTGCACTGCACTGTAACTTTATTCATGTATTTTTTACCTGTGTTATTCTTTATTAGCTTGTTTTATGTTCATTTAAAAAAATATATGAAATTGCCATTTTATAATGCGTTTCCGCTGCACTATCTCTTAATGCTCTTAATGTTTTTCATTTTTATAAAGCACTTTGAATTGACTTGTGTTGATAGATGCTATTTAATAAACTTGCCTTGCCTTGACCAGCCAGCTGCTGTCAAGGTTCCTGTCATGTGATTTCTACCTCACTTCCTGTGCTGCTTTTTTTCATTATCAGTCCAGTCATAAAGCCAGGGTTCGCCTCTCATTACCATCATTGAGAACTAAATCTGCATGTGACAAAGAACCAAAATGATTTGTTGTCTACTTTCCTGTTATCTTATAGGTAATGTGAATTATTCTCCGGATTAACTTGTTTTTATATTCAAGCTTTAACTAGGTATTTTCTCTCTTTTTGCAGGTGTTTCTCTGGGAGTTCAGGTCGACCAGTTTCCCTCTGCTGTCATCAGAAAGGCCGGAGAAGACGTGCAGCTTTTCTGCACTCACGGACACACTGAGTACAGAGTGATGCTGTGGTACCAGCAGCCCCCCGGGGACAAGGCTCTGGAACTCATTGGATATGGATATTCACAGTTCACAAACGACAGCGTGGAACAACGGTTTAGAAAACATTTTAAATTAGCTGGAGATTTGAGTGAGGATAAAATAAAAAATGGTTCGCTTTCCATAAAGAATCTAAAAGCACTTGAACACACCGCCACCTACTACTGTGCAGCCAGGATGGCACAGTACATCAAACACCCATCTACTCCTCACAAAAACTTCTCCAACCCCTCCACTCTGAAAGTAGGTTAAAGAGTAAAATATCTCCCTGTGATCATGAGAGGTCTCATGCAGTTCAGGAAAAGGCAGACTGAATGATAGAAAGTGTTATAGTTTCAACTTATTCTCTGATTTCTTTACATCACTTCCTGTCCCTCCTCCTGATCCACAAAGCTGAGAGACTGTAGCTGCTTCTTCACATTCAACATGAAGCCATCTCAATGCATCGTTTCCATCATCATCGTCTTCTGGGTTAAAGGTATTGCACATTAATAAAGCCATTTTGTCTTACTTAGGCACAAGTTCACCAGTCAAGGTGAAAGATATCAAAGCTCTTGATTTTCCAGTAAATGTAACAGCTCCAAGTGCCAGATAACTTAATGGCATCTTGATCTCTTTCCAGGAGTTTCCCTCAGTAATGACAAAGTGTTTCAGACTCCCTCTGAACTGATAAAGGAACCAAACAGTGAAGCCACGCTGAGTCTGGAGCATCAGATCCCGAGCTACGACACTATTCTGTGGTATCAGCGCTCAGCAGGAGACACGTCTCTGAAGCTCATCGCCTACATGTATTATGGAAATGCTAACGTGGAGCCGCCGTTCAAAAGCCACTTTAACGTGAGTGGAAATGGAGAGAAAAGAGTTTATCTCCACATCCTGAAGCTGGGACACCCTGAACACAGCGCAGAGTATTTTGGAGCGGCACGTATACACAGTCATAAAGACAGTGAGGCTCTCAGACAAAAACCTGCAGGAGGATCCAGAAGATAACAAACCACTAAAATCATGTGACTTCTCATAGAACTTGACATTACATAGAGCTAGTTTACACCAATTAAATGTATACAAAGATGTGTAAACATTATTTTGGACTGACAGCAATTTTTAATTCATTGGGTAGTTTGGTGACTGTCCCCTTGCATCAGGGGTCCAATGTGGAGAAATCATTTTAGAGACTGTCAGCACTTTCCAGCACCTTAAGCTTCATATTCTCAGGAGCCAACAAGGATTAGCTGGTGAAGTGTTATTGTTTGAGACTGAAACTGGACCTGATATGTCATATGTAACTACAAAAACAGGACACAAAATAGAGATGTGTCGTTTGATAATATTTCACATGATTATGTTGGAGACAGCTGATCTCTTACGGCCATGCAAACAGTGACTTCTCAGTAGCAAAATAATGAGAAGTGTGATATTCTCATCAGGTGTTATGGAGCAGGCGGTGTAACCTCTTCATATAAAGACTTTATCAACAACACCTTAGAGCAGGGTCCTGATTCAACCAACAGGTGGAGGCACAGCACATGGTGTGCAGCTTTTATCATGGGGATGTGGTGATAAATGAACCCACAAACTCACACTAACCCAACCCCCTCCCTCTTCACCCTGAGACTTATTTTTCTCAGAGAAATACTTTTCATCACACCAGTGCCAGACCATGTCTTCACCTCTGCAGATCTTTGTTTTCTTCTGTTTTTACTGTAAGATGATTATCTCACACGTTGTAATTAATTACATAAATGTAGCCGCTAAATATAATTAACATTTTATAACATTTCCGTCAATGACACTTACAATTTTCTTTCTCCACAGGTCAGGTGAGCGCTGTTACATTTCACCAATCTCCTGCTCAGATAGTGAAGGAGAGCACTGAGATTAAATGCAGCCATGACGATTCTACCCTTACAGTAATGCTCTGGTATCAGCAGAGAAAATACAGTCTCTCTATGACCCTCATTGGGTATGGATATGCAAACAGCGAGCAAAACTACGAGGGTCAGTTTAAAAAAGAGTTTGAGCTGAGGAGAGAAGACACGCTGAGCGGAGCTCTGATTATACGCTCAGCAAACCTGTCACACTCGGCTGTGTATTTCTGCGCTGCCAGTACACAGTGATGTGGTGAATGCCACTCCCTTACTAAAACCCTCATCTCTTTCCTGAACACGAGATCTGTGTATTTTCACAGGAGGCGGTGTCTCTACACACCATCAGAGGCAGCAGTGTTTCTTCTGCTACAGCACAAACCTGAAGGATGCCTCCAGCTGTGATAGCATTTCTCCTCTTCTTGCTTCCATGTAACGAAATTACTACAAAAAACAGCTATTTATAAGAATGGTTTTATTTTAGGTGGATTCTGTATTAACTAATTTTTCAATTGATTTCCCACAGATCAAGCTGAGGGTGTGAGGTTTGAGCCGTCTTATCCCAGAATAGTCAACGACAGAGCAAGGGAAGAAATTAAATGCAGTCATAATGATAACAACATGTATGTAATGCTCTGGTACCAACAAACAGAGAGAGGTCTGATTAATTTGATTGGATATAGCAACTTTGGCAGTGACCCTATCTATGAGACGCGGTTTGTGATAACAAGAGAAGACATCAAAAAAGGAGCCCTGATTATTCCTCGTGGCAGTGCATCAGACTCGGCTGTGTATTTCTGCGCTGCCAGTACACAGTGATGTGGTTTAATGCCACTCCCTCACTAAAAACCTTGTTCCCTTTTTCTCATGTTCAAAAGCTGAAAGGCAGACTGAATTACCGTTCTGACATTACACAGACACAGGATTTTAAATTCAAAATAATGTTGTTCCTCACAGTCAATTCTTAAATGACCATGTATTTATGAGTAGGGTTGGGTATCGTTTGAATTTCCACGATTCTGATTCCGATTCTACTTTTCGATTCCGGTTCTTAACGGTTCTCAATTCCGATTCTTTGAGGGGCAGGGTAAAACATTTTTACATGCTTCTTCCACCAAAAAAACAAAAAAAATTCGAGAAACTTTTACACAGGTTAGTTTACAGTAATATTCACATTAATCAGTCTGTTTATATTCACTGCTATGTAACTGTAACCTGAGAACCACTGAAGCTACAACACAGCAACAGTCCAACTTTGAAAGGAAACCCCCCCCATTTAAAAACAGTTCTTGTTGAGAAAAACAAGCATATCTGCCTTCTCAGGCAGTATGCGTGAGCGTTCGGCACAGATTGTGTCACCAGCAGTCGAGAAAACACGTTCACTGGGTGTAGAGGAAGCCTGGACACATAAATATGAGAAGGCCATGTCTGACAGGCAAGGATAGGTTGTTCTCATGTTCCACCACCAGGCCGCAGCTCATCAGACGTAACTATGCATGGTATAACCTTGGACATGTGCAGCTCCTTCTCTACCTGGTCCTGGATGGGCATGGAATTCTGCTGTGGTGTCACCTTTTGGGAATCCTCATCAGCAAACAGCTCCTGTAAAAAGCATGTCCCTGTAAACACAAAAACAAAAATGATATTGTTATTGTGGGTGAGGTCTGGGCAGCTAGAACATTTGTATAATTGTCTTTGCGTACCGAAATGTAGGTGCTTCTACTTCTGAGAATGGATGCAGCCTTTTCACCACAAAAGCGGTGACCTTTCTGTGGCACTCCTCACGTTTCTCTACTGTCACCTTACCCTTTGCTGCTAAGGTGAATGGGTTGACACGGGCTGGGATGGGCTTGTTAGCTTGAGCCGTTGTAGCCGCGCAACTACGCGACCGCAAACTTTCATCTGCAAAAATATAGAATATCCACACATTTTACACACAGCCTCTCAAACAAAACAACCATCCTTTAGTTTTGAGTGATGTTAACTTAACAT